CAATTGTTGAGTTGAATCAAGTTATAAAGTCCGAACTAGGAGATATAAACTTGCATTTGCAAGAAAAAAAAGTCAGAATTGTGAGAGAAAATAGGTAAATGTTATGTAAAATTTTATAGGTATTTCATGCATGTATTTCAACTGTAGGGCTAATACAATATGTCCCCTATATGAATATTATATAGACCTATTGTTTAAATCAAATTTCTGCTTTAAAAGTAGGATATCATAGCAGGTTTCATCCATAGTCTGTCCGTTTAAATATCTGCGTTTAGCTTCAAATGGCGTCTTTGACGACAGTGTTATATAAAAATTATTTGCATTCCGATTCTGACATTATGACTATGAGTAGTGTGTATTAGCGTGCAGATTTCAATTTCTAGACAGTCTAATCTAATTGTCATACTCTTCGAATTTCATATTAAAGGGGTCATGTGATGCTTTTTTAAAGATCATTATTTTGTGTATTTGGTGTAACAGAATATGTTGACATGTTTTAATGTTCAAAAAACACATTATTTTTCAAATACTGTACATTATTGTAGGTCCGAGAAAGGAAAACTTGAAATAGCATCATATGACCCCTTTAAGAAATTCTTTTAACCCAAAAAGCTAATTATGCTACCTTCGAACCGGTTTTCTTTCAAATACAAATCTTTGTAATCCCAGGCTATCTGTAATCAGAAGCACATTTATAACTGGAATATAATTTAATTTCATTCACATGTGTTTCATAAACACGTAATCCTTTCTGGATTACAATCCGCCATCAAAATTATACATTTAATTATTCCAGTTGCTGAGAGAAAAGGCTATAAACGATCGGCCACCTGCAGGATCCTCACATGCGATTGCCTAGTAGCCGGGAAAACTTCTTTATGTTAACAGACGTGACGTAATGACGCAGTGCCATGCTCGAATTTCCCGCTAAAACCTACCCGTACCACTCAAATTAGAAAACATTATTATAAGATAACCGTTGTGAATCGGGCTAAAGTAAGGCGATAGTTTTGAATTATGTACTGGTTATGTACTTGCTCAAATATTGATTTCAGATCATTTTTAACCAAAAAAAGTTATGGACTGCAGCTTTAACCTACACGCATGTAAATCATTAAAGTGCATATACTGTATTAGAACTGCTAACATATAATTATTTAATTAAATCGTAGCGTTTGTGAATTCACAATTATGCTTAATTATGATTTTTAAATGGGTTTAATATATCATGCAGCCTTGGAAAACAGACTAATAATGTGTTTTATACATTCTCGTCTGTGATATGCGCCACTTCCGGTATTTTGCCGGTTAGTCGACGCGAGCAAAATGAAGTCGAAGATTTTTAAAAAACGAATAGTCGAATAAAATCGGCGAATCGCGACAGCCCGACTCGTTTGCTCCTCCCGCCACATTCTATAAGGAAAATTAACAGAAATATTGAATATTTGAATACAGAATTAGTCAATTTGGCTATTTTTAGAAAGAAAAACTAGTTGTTGTTTTTCACAAAAATGCATAATGATAGTGTGAAAAGCTATATGCACTTTATAGTTTTTAACATTTATATTTTTTCCCCCACACAGTATATAGCATACAGGCATAAGTTTGTTTTTAGTATTAACCATTAATTTGCACATATTTTAATGGAATAAAAAAATTAGATGCTAAGATATGCATTTGTTTATCCAATTAATTGAATAAATAATTGACAGATTAAACAAAATTGCATATGATTGTTGCAGGCCTACTTTAGAGAATATGCCATTCACTCTCCTCAAATCAGCCTACTGATGCCATCATAAACATGGCATCATACATGACATCATGATTGCATCATAAAGCTGCATCGAAACCAACCAATGTGGTTTGCTGGTTTTAGCTGGTTCTCATATCTTGGTCAGGGTGGTCTGTTTTATAGGGGTTTTGGGGACTTATCAGCATCTAAGATCGGCTGAAAACCAGTTTAAACCAGCTAAGACTTGCATGATGGTATCACTGTCTGATCTCTTAACTTGGGCCACCTAGGCGTGCATCATCATATGTGACGGCTGACGTCTGTCCACTCAGCTTGTTAAGATACACTGGCACAGATCCTAGCAGACCTACGTATTCGTTCTGTTCTGTCAAATTTGCTCCCTAAATTTAAGGATTTTATCTATTAATTGTGTTAGTAAAACATTAGGATGTTAATTCCACTGAGATGAGAAGTGATGGTATGCTTGGCGTTGTACAAACAGCACTTTCTGAGTCTCTGTGTGTGTGTGCAAAGCTTTGAGCAGGCGGCTGCCGTGCTGTTGTCTCATTGTGTCTGGTGTGTCAGTGGATGCTACCAATCTGAGCCGCGAGACACCAGTTCTGTTTCCTTTGTGAGTGAGCAAGAGAGAGAAAGAGGAAAAGGAACAAGTGAAGAAGGAGTAGAGAGTGGATAGTGAGAGAGAGAGGCAGATGGAAGCTACGCAAACGCCCACCAGCCTGATATCTCTTCCACCTCCTCTCGCAAACACAGCTTTGTGTGTAATGATTAACCGATTGGAGAAAGGCAAGAAGAAACCGCCTCAGCCCTCATAGGAAGTGACACACGCACAGCAACATTATATAAACACATAGTGTCTTCGTTCAGAGAACAGTGAACATGACCAGACCAAAAGGAGGATACTACAAAGCAGAATTGGGTAGGAACTTACTGTAAATACTTTGGCGAGGAGAAATATCACTCTGTGAGCTTTATGTCAAAATCATCCAGTGTGTTTAGAACTGTGGCAGGTACATTCTTTTGTTTGCCTGTGCTTTGTTATGGCTCAGTTGCACTCCTTAGGCATTGTGGGGCAGTTCAGACTTACTTGACCGAATGCTTTGTTTACATGAACATGGTGGTGACATTGTTGTGCATTGTTTTATTTTAGGCTTGTTCTGAAATCAGTTAGTTTGTTTGCTCTTTGACCTGGTCAGCAGCTTACGAGGATAGCTCCTAGTCTAGCAGCTCCTAACAAGAATAGATTAAATTCGTTTGGGGCACTTGTCTTGTCTGAATTTTTGCAATTGTATTTTTCACTTTTTAAATGTGATTTTGACACTTTGTTTTTGCATTACAGGGGAGCCACACAAATTTGACCCCACATTCAGAGGACCTGTTCACCATAGGTAGAGTAAATCTTACTTCCTTGTGATGCTTTTTGGATTTGATTTGAAGCCGCATGTGTCATAAGATATACACATTTACATATTATTATTTTTATTATTATTATTATTATTGGTATTTTATTTTATTATTGTTTTATTTCCGTTTGTGTATATTAGGGCTGCACGATAAATTGCATGCGATATTTAATGCGCATCTTGTCAGAAAGCCGGTTCTGTAATCAGCGGTAAATCTCCATCACCTGCGGGCTTTCACATTGAGCAGCATTAACTACACAGAGCCGTTGTTCACTGATTTTAGCAAGGAAAGTGACTTGTTGTTTAAAATTATAATTTTTTTTATACCAGAACTAACCTTCATAATGGTGTCAAAACTAACAATAGAGAAGGGCTCATTATGACCTGGTATTGGGGTCAAAATGTTAAAAAATATATAACTATATATATGAAAAATAAGTTCTTTGCTAAAAAATAAATAATCAGCAAATGAGTTAAACCGGTTTCACCACCAGATCCTTTCTTTTAGAAAAATACCAATATGAAAAAAATATTAAATCTACTCAAATTTTGTTTCTTTCTGAAGCAAATAGGAAAGTGTGGGAAAAGGCCTTTTTTCAGAATTCATTTATAATATTCAATAATTATTTTAACACCTTTTCATTGTTCAATAAGGAGCAAGAAACAATCAACACCCTCCCTAAAATATAATAAAAGAAAAGGGTAAATAAAAAATTAAAGTTATTAAATATTCAGTTGTCATATTTTTGTAATAAATGTAAATGCAAATGCTGTTGTAAATGAAAAAAATTATATATATACATACATACATACATATGAATATTATTAAATAAATTATACAATTTATAATTTTGTAAATTATAATAATTATTATAATTATTATAATAAGTATAATTTGTATGTACATTTACATTACATAATGTATACATTTGTTTTCTAATGGGCAAAATAAGAACAGCTTGACAAATGCATGCATATCTAAAAGGGAACTTCCTATTGTTTTAAATTAAGCCAGATCTAACTAAAATAGACTAAGCTTACAACCGAACATCAAATCTAACCCTAAAATACAACTTTTAGATTTTTTTCATTCATTTCTAATATATACATATATACATATATATATTCATATTTACTTCTGCCAATATTTAGTGGCAATAATGCCTCCCAAATACAGCTAGGTCAAAAACAAGCACACATGCACCCCTTCAAAGAATTGTCTTTTGATTTGTCCTGATTTGCATGTGTCGGTTATTGATAAAAATATTGACTTCATTCATGGACCTGTCACTCCGCTGGCCTGTTTCTCGCTCTGATCCAGAGTTGCTGGTGGTTGCTTAGTTCAGCAGTGATTGCGGACAGCACGGCTTTCACCCCACAGGAGCAGAGAAATCAATAACTGTTGCTCACATTTCTAGAGTTGCTTTGCCTCATTAACAGTCAAACTCAATTGGATTCAGCAGATTGTGAGGTCATTCTGCTATTACTGGAAAACAAGCCCTGGGTTTCAATGTATTTTTTGTTGCTCTCAGTAGAAAGTGGCCATCACTGTGTGCAACCCAGCGTGTTTCTAATGGGGTTTTCCTGTGCTTAGTCCGTATTTATAAGGCCCAGCTACTGCTAATTAGGGTTGACTGATGTAAAACGCTTAAGCTCTGTAGCATGCAGTACTTTACTGTGCTATGTTTGCTGTGATGAGGTGCGGTACAATCCGTGTCACAGCTGACCTAGTTGTTTATCATAGTGGCTCAGTAATAATATAACATTTTTTTTTTTTTGTAGTTTATGGTTTGATAAATCAAGAGACGATGATTTATGAAAGAGATAATAATTTTTTTAATTTAATTTTTCATGGAGCACAAAATGAAGTTTCTTCACAGACATTTTCTATACAACGGCAGATTATAGTGATCACATATATCTAGCTACAGAAAGCAGTGCAAAAGTCATATGGACTTTTATGATGAGTCTTCTAAAATCACAAGATAGTTGTGTAAGGAACATCTGAAAATCATCTCCAGTGAGCAGAACTGCCGTGACCAGATGGATCAATCAAATGGTTCTTTTCAATCAACCTGTGAACAATTCGTTCACAAATTAGAAGTTGGTCCAATTCTCAGTTTTAGCGTATTGGCTCAATGATTTGGTCGCAGCTGCTCACTGGAAATTTTGCTCTGTTTCTCGCACAAAGTTGTTGTGTGACTTGGAATATAGTACATGAGTCAGATGAGCTACTTTTATGGTGCTTGTTTTGTAATTTTTGGGTTGTATGTTCATAATGAATTGTTATTGTATGAGTTGCATGAAGATTTACAGTTTATGTTTTTGAACAACAAAAAGAAAATAACAGCATTTAGGTTTGGAACGACATGAGGGTGAGTAAAAAATGACAATGTTCATATTTGGAATACTTATACCTGGGACGAAGTTTATTTTGGGGGGGGGGGGGGGGGGAGTGGTTGCTTAGTTCAGCAGTGATTGCGGACAGCACGGCTTTCACCCCACAGGAGCAGAGAAATCAATAACTGTTGCTCACATTTCTAGAGTTGCTTTGCCTCATTAACAGTCAAACTCAATTGGATTCAGCAGATTGTGAGGTCATTCTGCTATTACTGGAAAACAAGCCCTGGGTTTCAATGTATTTTTTGTTGCTCTCAGTAGAAAGTGGCCATCACCGTGTGCAACCCAGCGTGTTTCTAATGGGGTTTTCCTGTGCTTAGTCCGTATTTATAAGGCCCAGCTACTGCTAATTAGGGTTGACTGATGTAAAACGCTTAAGCTCTGTAGCATGCAGTACTTTACTGTGCTATGTTTGCTGTGATGAGGTGCGGTACAATCCGTGTCACAGCTGACCTAGTTGTTTATCATAGTGGCTCAGTAATAATATAACATTTTTTTTTTTTTGTAGTTTATGGTTTGATAAATCAAGAGACGATGATTTATGAAAGAGATAATAATTTTTTTAATTTAATTTTTCATGGAGCACAAAATGAAGTTTCTTCACAGACATTTTCTATACAACGGCAGATTATAGTGATCACATATATCTAGCTACAGAAAGCAGTGCAAAAGTCATATGGACTTTTATGATGAGTCTTCTAAAATCACAAGATAGTTGTGTAAGGAACATCTGAAAATCATCTCCAGTGAGCAGAACTGCCGTGACCAGATGGATCAATCAAATGGTTCTTTTCAATCAACCTGTGAACAATTCGTTCACAAATTAGAAGTTGGTCCAATTCTCAGTTTTAGCGTATTGGCTCAATGATTTGGTCGCAGCTGCTCACTGGAAATTTTGCTCTGTTTCTCGCACAAAGTTGTTGTGTGACTTGGAATATAGTACATGAGTCAGATGAGCTACTTTTATGGTGCTTGTTTTGTAATTTTTGGGTTGTATGTTCATAATGAATTGTTATTGTATGAGTTGCATGAAGATTTACAGTTTATGTTTTTGAACAACAAAAAGAAAATAACAGCATTTAGGTTTGGAACGACATGAGGGTGAGTAAAAAATGACAATGTTCATATTTGGAATACTTATACCTGGGACGAAGTTTATTTTGGGGGGGGGGGGGGGGGGTTGTT